TTTTTAATAGTTCAGAATGATGTGGTGTATTTAAAGAATATGTAAACCCAGCATTTCATATTCCTGATATGTACCCGTTGTGCCATGTACTTGTATGAAAAAGTATCCTCTTATCATTCTATTGCTTCCATTGTATGAAATCCCTGGTGTTCCTGCCAGTCCCTCTGCTTTCCTATTAAAAACGGACCACACTAGGCAGGAGAGCACAGCACGGACATTTTTCTGACTGTGCTGGGAACTCATCCTGCTTTCCTCCAATGATCAGACTTCTGCTGAACCCCCCCTTCCCCACACACACACAGGAATTCACTGGGAAGATCAGTATGCTGCTGTTTCTCCTTCCTGAGCTCCTTATCCAGCTGAGAACAAAGGCTGATCACTTATAAAGAGGGGAAAAGGGTATTTATATATTTTTTTAATGTGTATGCACAAATGTTTTGCATTTAAAGGATAAGTTCACCTTCTGGACAAAAATAATAAATGCACATTTTTTTGCAGGTAAAAAAATGTGCATTTATTATTTTTGTCCAGAGGAGCCTGGAAAGCATTGCACCAGTGACCAGTAGATTGGTTTATCGTAGATTGGCCGTACGGGATGCATGAGCAAGCTGATATTCTGACACAAAGCTTTAATGAACTACCACGGCGCTCCACAGCGCCGTGGTAGTTCACTCAGAACTCAACATAAGGGGTGCAGTGCTAAATCAACATGTAAGAACCAAAAATTGACTAGGTAAGTAAAGTGCCTATATACAGTGACAAAATGCAATACACATATAATAGATAAAGTGCCGTGCATGTGATGGTAAGGATGATAAATATATCCCAAAAAACTCTCCTGTTAGGGAGTATAAAACAGTTCAGACAATAATGATAACCGATGTAATCGGGGTAGTCTCTAGTAGGTGACTTCTTTACTCTAGTAGGTGATCCATATATTCCCGGATAATCTCTCATGTGATGTGTCAGAAGGAATGTTTAAAGTGCACACTCACCAGATGCCAAAGCATAATACGCAGTGAATATGGTATTTGGCCGGAGGTCCCCCTTAAAAGGTAGTCAGCAGTCTTGTCGGGTCCAAGAGATCTCCTTCCTCCCTGGTAATCTGCCACACCACTGCCGTCCTCCAGGAAAGAGCTCTAAGGTGGTATTGGCTCATCCAGAGCCAAAAAGAAGAATGCCCATAGTATAGTAATCTCCAACCAAAAACGTTTTATTATAAGTAAGGTATACAAATAGAATCAGCATAGGAACTAAAACTGACCGTATACAGAAAGCAAATTGACCGCCGGACCTCCTCGTGGTCTCGGCGGCGTGACGTCACCGCGTATGGCTCCTCCTCTACGCATTTTGTGCACAAGCACGTATTCATGAGGGGTATGCACATACCAGGGAGGAAGGAGATCTCTTGGACCTGACCAAGACTGCTGACTACCTTTTAAGGGGGACCTCCAGCCAAATACTATATTCACTGCGTATTATGCTTTGGCATCTGGTGAGTGTGCACTTTAAACATTCCTTCTGACACATCACATGAGAGATTATCCGGGAACATACGGATCACCTACTAGAGTAAAGAGGTCACCTACTAGAGACTACCCTGATTACATCGGTTATCATTACTGTCTGAACTGTACTCCCTAACAGGAGAGTTTTTTGGGATATATTTATCATCCTTACCATCACATGCACGGCACTTTATCTATTATATGTGTATTGCATTTTGTCACTGTATATGGGCATTTACTTACCTAGTCAATTTTTGATTCTTATATATTGATTTAGTGCTGCACCCCTTATGTTGAATTTTATCCTATGAGGTATTTTATGGTTGCTTTTGGTATTTCAGCTGCTAGTTGGTCTTGGCACTCGCTTCGTTTTTCTTTTTTATCCAGTTCACTCGAAACTACAAGCCGACAGCCGCTAAGGCAGAACTCTGTGAATGAGTGATGTTGCCGTGTGGGTGGAACCCCGCACGGCTGCGCTGTTTTCGAATCTGACAGGTAGTGCAGGGAAACTTCTCTCCATACTATCTGTCAGAGGGAGGGGGGGTGCAGCTACTGGAAAATGTTACCTAAAAACAGGTGAAACATGTAAAATGTTCCCAAAGGTGAACTTATCCTTTAATTTCTATTTTAAACTGAATGGGTTGTTTTACAAGGTAAAGTTTACATATACTTTAAAGTCTATCCTATGCTGCAGGGCTTTACCTTCTCTGATGGCTGCGGCCTCCCGTGCTGTCCGCAGCCCAGCCGGTAATTATTTAGTGCAGGGCCGCCTGTGTACTAGCATCCCATAGATTTGAATGGGACACTGCTCCTGCTATGCTGGTACAAAACATTCACGTCTATGGGACTATGTTTGCAGGCTGGGCTGCAGAGAAAGTGGGAGACTGCAGACACTGAAGAAAGTAAGTATAGACTTGTGTAAGAAGGGGTACAGCTAGTGTTTTGTTGTTTTTTTTTTTGGGGGGGGGGCTGTAAGTCTCTGATCACCACGATTACTAGTAAGAAAAAAAAAAATCCCAGTATATAACCGCCATTTGTAAACTTTATAACTTTCATGTAACCAACTAATTTACATGTATTGGGATTTTCTTTTAGCAAAGACATGTCGCAGAATACATTTTGGCCTAAATTTATGACTAAATTTGATTTTTAAAATTGTTTTACTGGACAAGTTAAATAGCAAAAATTCAAAAATATTGTTTTTTTCTCAAAAAGTTTTTATAGCGCAAAAAATAAAAAATGCACAGGCAATCAAATACCACCGAAAGAAAGCTCAATTTGTGGGAAAGAAAGGATGCAGACTAAACGCGTTTTGTGTGGATTTTATGCATTCTTCCTAATAAATAAATCATATTTGTTTGTTTATTCTACCAGGGTGTCAGTTTTTCACCACTATTCAGTCCTACTGATATCAATTGGGATGCAGCAGCTGTACAGACACAAGCGTTGCTCCCAATCTGGCACCCCGAATGCAGACAGCGTGCATTCCATGTCTTCAGGCGTATGCTTTGGTACGCCCCTTGCGAGCGAGGCCTTAGCGGTAGAAGGGTCAAGCTATCTATCTAAGTCTTTGCCTAATGATTACGCACCCCAGTGTAAAGTACGTCAAGGCGTTCCAGGACTGCTGTTGACATATAGCACATTTGTAAGTGCTGTGTCACTCCATTTCTTTCTTTTGTGAACCCTTAGTTTGCCTGAATGGATAAAATACAGGTTTGCATTCACCAAAAGTGAATAACCAAATTATTTTTCTATCCTTACCGCCTAAATTCCAATGAAAAGCAAAGGCACTTTCATTATGAACATTATTTTCAATTTAAAAAAAAAACTTGATTCAGAATCAGTGCTTGTGTCCATTTCAGTCGAGAAGGTATGAGCAGACACAGGCTGCTGGGTCTGACAGGCCTGCATCTCGCACTCTGCTCTGGAATGCATGAAAGAATTACATGCAGCGTGGTAGGCCGGAGGTCTCTTGGGTACAGACCCCCAGCAAACTTAAATATGCCGTTCCCTTCATGAAATCGCCTCATCTCTCGTTCCAGGCCAAGAATGCAAGGCGGCTTGACATGGAATTTAATAGCAAAGCAAAAAAAAAAAACAGCTCGGCCATTCCCCCCCCCCTTTTAATTAAAGCAGGAGTAGAAGCCATTAAAATGCCAACAGTGCGCGGGGGGTACAAATCAGGAGGGACATGAGGTAATGTTTGTGCACTCATACGTACAGTGTCACCGGTCTAGGTCAGGGCCTTAGATTCTGTTCTTTCACCCCCTCTCTCTTAATTCTATGCTAGTAGGCCCAGACAGGCCCTTGAGTAGTTCATGTGGGGCGCTGGTTGCCATGGCAACTCCTAGAACGAAATTCAATCCTGGGCCTCATTTTTCAGTGGAGAATGTTTATGAACATTGTGAGCCTTGCCTGTTTGCATATTATTTTTAATACACAATTGCAAACCATCAGGTACTTTTTTTGGTTCTAATACCACCTACAATGCCCCGTTTTCAGCTGGATAGGTTTAATAAATGTTTCTGGTGTGTTTAAAAAGGAAAACCACCTCTGCTTGGTGTTGTATGTAGCATCCAAAAGGATCTTTCCACAGGAGAGTGAGTTTGCAGCACCAATAGCTTTGGCATCTGATGAGCCAAATGGGTCTGTTTTAATAGGTCCTCATGCACCTGGGCCGTATGGTGTATGCCGCATGCAGCCACCCACAGGTGCCCAACCCGCGACCCTTTGGTATGAGATGTGTGGTCCCTGGACCTCGGCTCTCTGTAGTGGGAACACTGATTAGGGTAATAGCATTGATCTCTACTAGCCTCATGTAACATGTTTCCAGTTTTGAATTGTCTTCTGCGGCATATTCCCATCCAACAATGTAGCATGTCCACACTTTCTGACCTTCATTTCCTCTATTAGCTCTGCAGTCTCTGACAGTCTTCCCAAGCGTTACATACACTATATTGCCAAAAGTATTGGGACTCCTTCCTTTACACGCACATTAACTTTAATGGCATCCCAGTCTTAGGCTGAAGGGTTCAATATTGAGTTGGCCCCGCCCTTTGCAGCTATAACAGCTTCAACTCTTCTAGGAAGGCTGTCCACAAGGTTTAGGAGGGTGTCTATGGGAATGTTTGACCATTCTTCCAGAAGCACATTTGTGAGGTAAGACACTGATGTCGGACGAGAAGGCCTGGCTCACAGTCTCCACTCTAATTCATCCCAAAAGTGTCCTGTCGGGTTAAGGTCAGGCCAGTCAAGTCCCTCCACCCCAAACTCACTCATCCATGTCTTTATGGACCTTGCTTTGTGCACTGGTGTGCAGTCATGTTGGAACAGGAAGGAGCCATCCCCAAACTCTTCCCACAAAGTTGGGAGCATGAAATTGTCCAAAATGTTTTTGTATGCTGATACCTTAAGAGTTCCCTTCACTGGAACTAATGGGTCAAGCCCAACCCCTGAAAGGCAACCCCATACCATAATCCCCCCTCCACCAAACTTTACGTTTGGCACAATGCTGTCAGGCAAGTACCGTTCTCATGGCAATCACCAAACCCAGACACGTGCATCAGTTGCCAGACAAAGAAACATGATTCATCACTCCAGAGAACATGTCTCCACTGCTGTAAAGTCCAGTGGCAGCATGATTTACACCACGGCATCCAACGCTTTGTATTGCAGTTGGTGATATAAGGCTTGTATGCACCTGTTCGGCTATGAAAACCCATTCCATGAAGCTCTCTACACACTGTTCTGCTAATCTGAAGGCCACACGAAGCTTTGAGGTCTTTAGCTATTGACTCTGCAGACAGTTGGCGACTTCTGCACTCTGTGCGCTTCAGCATGCGCTGACTCTGTTCTGTCATTTATGAGTTGCTGTTGTTCCCAGTTGCTTCCACTTTGTTTTAATCCCACTAACAGTTGAGCGTAGAATATTTAGTAGCCAGGAAATGTCACGGATGGACTTATTGCACAGGTGGCAACCTATCACGGTACCACGCTTGAATTCACCGAGCTCCTGAGAGCGACCCATTCTTTCAGAAATGTTTGTAGAAGCAGTCTGCATGTCTAGGTGCTTGATTTTATACCCCTGTGGCCATGGAGGTGATTGGAACACCTGAATCCAATGATTTGGAGGGATGTCCCAATACTTTTGGCAATATAGTGTATATTGAACATTATCTGCAGCTCTTTGGTGATGTCAGTGACTTCACTTGAGGCCCCCTTTAGCTCATAATTTGACAACCACTGGTCCAGGTGGCATACTGCGTGCATGCTTACACAGGTACCATGTACAGCTGCATTTTGTAACTGATTTCTATGGGCGACTGTGGCACCACACCTGTACGGGGAAATACGCCCACATTTAACGTGTTTTTACTGAAGATTCCCACAGCTTTAACTCCAGATTCCCACATTTCTTGCGGAATCCAATAAGATGCATGTATGAATCTTGTGTGAATCCTGTGTTTGTAAAAAAAAAAAAAAAAAAAAATATATATATATATATATATATATATATATATATATATGGACCTCAAAACGTATGTATAGCAAAATCTTTTTTTTTTTGCACTCTGGTGTGATCCTGTTGCTGGCGTGCTTGTTACTTCTGTTTGTCCCCTCTGTTGTCTTTCCTAAAAAAGGTCAGCTTAGGGCGTGCGTATGCAGCTGTATTGTTTTTTTTCTTCTTGGAAGGTGTAGTACTGTGTAATGACTTTGACACTAAGGACTCATTTAGACCTCATTCACACTGGAGCATTTTTCAGTGATGCTCAGAAACGCTCAACAAGTAAAATCACATTATTTACAATGGCCCCTGTTCTCACTGGGGCATGTCACCTGCAGCAAAATGCTTGTTGCTCAAAAAAGTACTTGCACTACTTTTCAGGAAAGAGATCTGAGCATTTTGATCCTATAGACTTGAATAGAAAATGCCTGAACAGCATTGTGAAGACTTTTTGCAACGCAAAAGAAAATAATGAGAAAATAATAATGAGAGTACATAATGAAAAAACCTACAAAAATGCACTATAAAGCACTTGAAAAATGCAGTTGAAAAATTTGTTGTGGTACAACTTTTCACATCTTTCAGTGTTGGCTTCCTTTGACAGAGGCTGTAGCATAGTGGTTAAGGTGGTGATCTACTAAGTCCATCGTCGTAGGTTTGAGGCTCACCTCTGTCAACAGGAGGAGCACCATACTCCAGTTCATTAATTCTATGGGCAGCACAGTGGCTAAATGGTTAGCACTTCTGCCTGGCAGTACTAGGGTCACTGGTTCAAATCCCAACCACAGCACCACCTGCCTGGAGTTTGCATGTTCTCCCTGTGCCTGCGTGGATTTCCTCTGGGTACTCTGGTTTCCTCCCACACTCCAAAGACATGCTGGTAGGTGAACTGGCATCTGTCTAAATTGGCCCTAGTATATGAATGTGAGTTAGGGACCTTAGATTGTACACCCCTTGAGGGTTAGGGACTGATGTGAATGTACAATATATATATATATATATATATATATATATATATATATGTAAAGTGCTGTGCAAATTGATGGTGCTATATAAGTACCTGAAATAAATAAATAAATTGTGGTTACCTGCATTCCATCACATTTGGTCTCAGAGCCACAAAGGAAGTCATGTATGAAGACTTCCACCACCAGATGGTGAGCTTGAAGACCTGACCATAGAACTGACATCTATCTATGGCCCAGCATATGTCACTGACCGCATGGTGAAGTATCTTCACTCCCGACCATCAGTTCAATGCATCTTATTAGTACTGGCCCAGGGGAAAATGCCCAGTTCTCCCCTACTCTCCCCTGCCAGCTGTCCCTATGAAAAGAAGGCAATCCAATAGACCTCTTTGGCAGATAAAGCACAAGCATTTCGTAACTTTCCTCAAATTACTTGATGAATAGGAAGTTTCAAAAGTTATAGATCTCATTTAAGCCTCGACTTCATAGAAAATGATATGTGTAAATACAGACAACATCTGCAAAGAGCACACTTTTTTCTTCTCTACCATCATTTTCCCATTTCGGTTTGTATGGCTGCCAGGCCTGACCACAACTTCGTCGTATTTGAACTCCTGTTTACAAAGCTGTAGAGGTGATCCAACATGGGCTGTGACGGGCCTAAACCTGGCATAGTGTGAATCACTTACAGATAATAAATCAAAGTTTTCCTTTCTTGCGTCCAAGCCACATCTTAGTGCTCACGGTCATTACCAATTTACCCTTCTGCAATTTTGGTTGCATGTCTTGAGCACTAGAACTTATGAGCTTTGCCTGGTATTGCTCCCTGCCAAGTTGTAAATATAAAATGGATTCAGCATTACTAAAAATGGGCATTAGGAATCAAATGGCACATACATAGCAATCTCACCTACACTCCACTATAGGATTATGTTATGTCCTCATTTTCAGCGATGAGTCCAGACAGCAAGCAAGATGAATCCACAGACACAATTTATGCCAATTTTGGAAGGTTCCAGTTGGCTTCTAGTGGATTGTAGCAGATTAAATGTTCCACATTGATATTCTTGATAGTGCCAGTGAAAAGGCACTTTCAATCAGTTTCCAACCCTGGTTTGATTGCTTGGTCACTCAGAAAAGGGAAATGATTAAAACCTTGGGTGGCAGGTTGCTCTGCATGGATACGTTTTTCATGTTTGTTTTCTTGTGTTATAAGTTGATGAAAAGTTTCAAGTCCCAGAAAGATTCTTCCTGTATAACCAAAAAAATACTATCCCATTCATCCATATATACTGTAGTTGCTAAAGGTAGACAGTCAATTAAATGTATGTTTTGTGGAAACATGTTTTTAAAAAAAAATATATATATATACATTATATTGCCAAAAGTATTGGGACTCCTGCCTTTACATGAACATGAACTTGAATGGCATTCCAGCCTTAATCTATAGGATTCAATATTGAGTTGGCTCCGCCCTTTGAAGCTAAAACAGCTTCAACTCTTCTGGGAAGGCTGTCCACAAGGTTTAGGAGGGTGTCTATGGGAAGGTTTCACCATTCTTCCAGAAGCACATTTGTAAGGTCAGGCACTGATGTTGGACGAGAAGGCGTGGCTCGCAGTCTCCGCTCTAATTCTTCCCAAAGGTGTTCTGTTGGGTTGAGGTCAGGACTCTGTGCAGGCCAGTAAGGTTTCCACCCCAAACTGTCCATGTCTTTATGGACCTTGCTTTGTTGCACTGGTGTGCAGTCATGTTGGAACAGGAAGGGTCCATCCCCAAACTGTTCCCACAAAGTTGGAAGTATGAAATTGTCCAAAATGTCTTGGTATGCTGACGCTTTAAGAGTTCCCTTCGCTGGAACTAAGGGGCCAAGCCCAACCCTTGAAAAACAACCCCACTCCAATGTCCATTGGATTTCCAGACAGAGAAGTGTGATTGGTCACTCCAGAGAACACGTCTCAACTGCTCTAGAGTCCAGTGGCGGCGTGCTTTACACCATGGCATCCGACGCTTTGCATTGCACTTGGTGATGTAAGGCTTGGATGCAGCTGCTCGGCCATGGAAACCCATTCCATGAAGCTCTCTACACACTGTTGTTGTGCTAATCTGAAGGTCACACCAAGTTTAAGTCTTTAGCTATTGACTCTGCAGACAGTTGGTGACTTCTGTACACTGTGCGCTTTAGCATGTGCTGATCCCACTCTGAAATTTTACTTGGCTTCTGTTCCCAGTTGCTTCCACTTTGTTATAATCCCACTAACAGTTGACCGTGGAATATTTAGTAGCCAGGAAATGTCACGGATGGACTTATTGCACAGGTGGCAACCTATCACGGGACTACGCTTGGATTCACTGAGCTCCTGAGAGCGACCCATTCTTCCACAAATGTTTGTAGAAGCAGTCTGCATGCCTAGGTGCTTGATTTTATACACCTGTGGCCATGGAGGTGATTGGAACACCTGAATCCAATGATTATTGGCTGTCATGGTTGACCACCAATTTAAAATTCTGGGCGCACCTGGCTTTCATGCTGATCCAATGGATCGAGTACTTTTCCAGTAAATGGGCTAGCCTTTCTAACCTATGACGGTTAGGTCGTTCAAACCAAAAATGTACTGTATATTGAAGCTTACCAATCCTTTAGTAGAGTGCCCCCACTCTGGATGAAGTGGTACAGGGGCACCTTTGGATAGTAGCATTGTCAGTCTGGGGGGAGGGGAGTGTTAGATGGACTAGCAGATTTAGGTACACTAACAAATTCAAGCCAAACTGTAGCTCACTCTTTATAAGAAGTTACAGCAACAACTTATTTTTGCTACCTTGGGATAAAGGTTTTACATAAGAAAATCTGATCATTGTAGCACCCCTGTCAGTGGTAAATGGTTTGTCGCATCCATGTAACTGCTACATCTGCAAGAGAGCTTTTTGAAAAACAACATACTTACTGGCCAGATCACCAGGTGAAAATAAAGGAAGGAAAGCCTAAAAAAGAACTACTGCAGCCATCACATTTAAAATTTGGTAATCTGCAATATAATAAATGTTTGCATTTGGGTTTATTACTGCTTTTAAAGTGTTACTAAACCCAGGACCCTGCATTCATTATATCCGGTCTTCCACAGTACACAGAACATGGAAATGCAATTATTTTTGTAAAAATAAGCTGCTAAATACCTTTTTTTTCATTGTGCAGTCATGTGACTTCTAGCAGTGTCAAGCACAGCACTGGTTAAAGTTTGTAGGAGGAGTTTTTTTCATTGTCCTATGAGGCTTCAGGACCCCGGACCCTCTGTCTGGACAGTGCTGATTTGACCTGTGCTGATCACATGCACCCTCCCAATGAAAAAAAACCTCACACCAAACTGAGCATGTGCAGCTTGCCCCCAAGGCTCTGTTCTATCAGGAGATGGATTGGGGACAGTAAAAGATGGGTAGGATCAGAGAAGGCAGAATCAAACATCCCTTTTACACAATGTGTATAATGCATAAAGCATGCTTTACTGCATACACAGACTGATTTTACTGTTGTGGGTTTAATAACACTTTAAGGACTGGCAGCTGTGTAACTGGCTCCCAGTGGATGCCTTATAACTATTTATGGAAAAGGCACTCCAGAAAAAGAAGCAAGTAGTTCAGCAAAAACACTCTCAGCATTACCAGAAAAGGAAGTGAAGGGAAGTCTCCCCAGAGGGACGCAGAAGTAAAAATCTGACAGAGGTTCCAACCCTTCACCACTTAATTATTCCCCCACTGAAAAACTTAAATAAAATGTCTGTAGATGCACTTTGAAGCAGAAATCTAATGGAAAAATGAATAAACCATTAAAAGTGGAAATTAAAAAAGGGGTTTTGGTGCAATACTCACCTTTAATGTGGAACTGTTCCAGCACTAGATGCCTCCAATCTTTCAGACTGAATTATGGCCAGCATTCTTAAACCAATTTCCCCTGAGCCCAGGGTGTCATGGACCCACCCCTAGGGTGGTGTCTCCATGGCAACCTGGGCTTAAAGTACTTACAATTATTTCATGTAGGAAAAACAATAAGTCCCTGTGATGCCAATGGTTCGTCCTACAGACCTTTGGGAAAAAAAATCCCATCCTCATATTGATCTGTTTGTCAGATATACAGTTGTGTTCAAAATAATAGCAGTCAGACATCACTAACCGGATCATTCACTGTTTTTGGTAGAAATGATATTTCTACATGGCAAATAATTTACTAGCAGGTGTAGTAGAGTAATAGAAATCCAACAGACCCAACAGTCATGACATGCATGCTGCTGATTCTGTGTAATTGAATCACTCATTGAAAGGGGCATGTTCAAAATAATAGCAGTGTGGAGTTCTATTAGTGAGGTCATTCATTCTTTGAAAAACAGGTGGCAATTATTGCCCTTATTTAAGGAAGGAAGGCAGCAAATGTTGTACATGCTGGTTACAGTGCATTTCTCTCTGAAATTCTGAGGAAAATGGGTGTTCCAGACATTGTTCAGAAGAACAGCGTACCTTGATTAAAAAGTTGATTGGAGAGGGGAAAATATATAAAGAAGTGCAGAAAATGATAGGCTGCTCAGCTAAAATGATCACAAATGGTTTTAAAATGGCAACCAAAACCTGAAAAATGTGGAAGAAAGCGAAAAAACTACCATTCGAATGGATAGAAGAATAGCCAAAATGGCGCGGACTCAGCCAACAATCAGCTCCAGGAAGATGAAAGAAGGTGTAAAGTTCCCTGTGAGTACTGTTACAATTAGAAGACGCCTATGTGAAGCCAAGCTATCTGCAAGAAGTCCCCCGCAAAGTCCCACTGTTGAAAAAAAGACATGTGCTGAAGAGGTTACAATTTGCCAAAGAGCACATTGACTGGCCTGAAGAGAAATGGCAACATTTTGTGGACTGATGAAAGTAAGATTGTTCTTTTTGGGTCTAGTGGCTGGAGACAGTTTGTTAGACGACCCCCAAACACTGAATTCAAGCCACAGTACACTGTGAAGACAGTGAAGCATGGTGGTGCAAGCATCATGATATTGGGGATGTTTCTCATACTACGGTGTTGGGCCTATTTATCGCATACCAGGGATCATGGATCAGTTTGAATACATCAGAATACTTGAAGAGGTCATGCTGCCTTATGCTGAAGAGGAAATGCCCTTGAAATGGGTGTTCCAACAAGACAACGACCCCAAACACACCAGTAAACGTGCAACATCTTGGTTCCAGACCAACAAGATTGACGTTATGGAGTGGCCAGCCCAATCCCCGGATCTTAATCCAATAGAAAACTTGTGGGGTGACATCAAAAATGCAGTTTCTGAGGCAAAACCAAGAAATAGAGAAGAACTGTGGAATGTAGTCCAATCATCCTGGGCTGGAATACTTGATCACAGGTGCCAGAAGTTGGGTGACTCCATACAACACAGATGTACAGCAGTTCCTTGAAACAGTGCGACTACAACCAAATATTCATTAAGTGATTGAAAGAAAAGCAAAATCTTCAAACATTTTTCAGTTTATATAGTGAATGTTTGAGTTTGTAAAGAAGAATACAAACACTGCTATTTTTTTGAACCGTCTAATATTCACTTTTCTTAAATTATTTTAGAGGAACAACACAAATTTGATCTTTTTCTTCATGTTTTGATTTGGAATAGAATGTGTAGTGTTCCCAATGCATTTTTGTGTATGGAAATAAAAGCTATTAGAAGGATTTTGAGCTTTATTCACTTTTTTCAACACGCTGCTATTATTTTGAACACAACTGTACACCTGCTGATTTTGCAGCCATCTTGTTTTCTGCCATCATGCCTCAATACAGTCACAGACGTCTTCACGATTCTCATATCCGCATAATTTACACTTATATGTCCCGGGATTATGAAGGAACACTTCACCTCCTTCTCTCTAATGGAAAGAGACGTTCCAGAAATCCTCATTTGGAGCCAGTGAAAATATAGTCTAAAAATAAGAACGCCTAAACATTTTCTTCTCCCTGCTTCTCCTAAAAATAGGCCAGAGCGGTGAAACTCGCCAGGAATTTCCTCTAAGCCTGAAGTTGGGGAGTGAAAGTGAAGAAATAGTCCTAGCTTTTCCTCACAACACGGTGATTAATGGCTTCTCTTCTCAGATCTCCTCCACTCCCCACACTTTTGTTCTCAGGAGCCAGATGTGGAGTACTGGATGTAAGACTTCCTACTATGCGGTGATCTGGTATATGCACCACTGGCCCCTTCTCTGTGTTTACAGTAAGAGGTCAGAACCTCATTGAAGAATGTTTATGTGAAGCTGCTTACTGTCCTTATATTGGGAGGATGGTCCTGCTTTCCTGCTATTCTTGACCGTATAAAGATTATGGAGGCATATAAAATAGTTCAAGCCAAACTCCAGGCAACCAACAAAGTAAAAAGTTGAAATACACATATACACACTTCCATGCTGCATAGCCAGGTCCCTGACCTCATTTTTCCCCCCTACAGTTATTTATTTATTTCAGGTACTTATATAGCGCTGTCAATTTACGCAGCTCTTTTACATATATATATATATATATTGTACATTTACTTCAGTCCCTAACCCTCAAGGGGTGTACAATCTAAGGTCCCTAATGCACATTCACATACTAGGGCCAATTTAGACATGAGCCAATTAACCTACCAGCATGTCTTTGGAGTGTGGGAGGAAACCGGAGTACCCGGAGGAAACCCACGCAGGCACAGGGAGAACATGCAATCTCCAGGCAGGTGGTGCCATGGATGGGATTTGGACCAATGACCCCTAGTACTCATTCACACCCTTATTATATCACCCCTCGACTATTGTAACTCCCTACTCCACCGCAGGCTATCCCCACTTCAGTCTATCATGAATGCTGCTGCCAGACTCATCCACCTTAATAACCGTTCTGTATCTGCCACCCCTCTCTGCCAATCCCTCCACTGGCCTCCACTCAGTGTCCTCCACCCCTCTCTGCCAATCCCTCCACTGGCCTCCACTCAGTGTCCTCCACCTCTCTCTGCCAATCCCTCCACTGGCCTCCACTCAGTGTCCCCACCCCTCTCCAATCCCTCCACTGGCCTCCACTCAGTGTCCTCCACCCCTCTCTGCCAATCCCTCCACTGGCCTCCACTCAGTGTCCTCCACTGGCTCTACCAATCCCTCCACTGGCTTCCCATTGCCCAACGGATAAAATTC